AAATAAATAACTTTGTTTCACCGTATGGATTAATTCAGTGGGATTATAGGTGCTTAAAACTTATCTTCAAGCTTATCATCACCCTGCAATCTGATGCTTTTGCTCCAACTCTGGCGGAAGAAAAAGATTTCTATCCTATGACTATAAAAAATCAATATGCTTAAAATTAGGACATATCGCTCGAGTATGAATTGTTCTGAATCTCACTGGCTCAATCCAGAGATAGAGGTGGCCTGACATTTTGGATGTGAATACAGGACTTTAGGTCCACTAGAAATTTATAATTATTTTGCCATGGCTGAAGATTTCCCTTTTTCCATCAGCCTAATCTTGCAGTCCAATTTCTACCTCTGTATATAGCGAAGATGAAGAATGAGCCGCCTACTTTCTGCCTCCGTATTGCCTCATCAAAATGGGAGGAAATGGGTTTGGAGGAGGAGATTGATTTGGAGGAAATGGTGAGAGCCGGAGAGAGAAAATGGTTTATTCTGCAAACAGAGATTTTTATTTTTTCCCCACAAAGGTTTCCCATTTTGGCGCCCTCAGCTTGGTGTAAAATTAAATCACAGCCGTCCACTGCCATTTGATCTCCACCCTACATGTCACTTTGTCAACAACTTGGTACAAATAGCATTTTTGTTATATGTTAGACCTATTATATTAGGATTCCACCTTATGTTAAACTTTTCATTGTATTATATTTCCTAGTATGTTATGGATTTTTTGATTACAAATAAATGGTGTAAAACATATATTGAGATTGATCAATTGTCCAACTGACTAGTTTGTTCCAGATAGATTCCTTGTAATCCTCTATTATAGATATAGTGAATTTCATGCCTCGGTCTGTGATTTTTTTCAATTGAATTTTCATGTAAATCTTGTGTTATTGTGATTGTCATTTTCATGTTGCATGTATCTCGTCTTTAATATTCGTAATAATTGGCTTGTTTATCTCTAACACTGTTTTATTTTTATCATTGTAGGATAAATAAATATGATAGTAAGCTAATTTTATATTGAGGGTTGAAAATATAGCTATCTACGTCTTAAGCATTTTGGCGTCTGGAGCCTTTGTTTCTGATGATATGACAATATGAACCCTAGTTTAGTCACATTAGATGGTATATAGCATATTGTAATTATAATCAAAGTAAACCATTTTATTAATGCATATCTTGACCTAATTGTATACTAAGGGTGCACGATTCTGCTATTTGCGGTAGAAATTTTTGAGGGAGTTATTTTAGGCAATTTCTTCTAAAAGATACAAATTATTTTTAGAAAATTATTCAAACAAATTCAAAAACAATTTTTGCCTTTTCAAAAACATTGTCAAACAAACTCTTAAGTAAATATCAATTATCTCTCAAAAAAGTAAAAAACATTGTGTCAAGTCATTTATGTAAGAACCTGATGTCGCCACCGAACCCCACTTTTCGTTCATGACTTCACCACAAAGCATTGTGTTATGCAAAATAACAAGGATCTATTCCGAAATATCACCAATTAGATGCCAAGTTTTTATTTTTATTTTTATTTTTATTTTGTTATTTAGCAGAGTATAAACTAAAGTTAAATGATATCATTCCTCAAGACATCCAAAATAGTAAATTTCATTAATAGAAAAGGACAAGTCTGGAAAAATAAGTAACTCAAAATAAATTTTGACACAGCCATCAATAATTTTGAAAATCAAAGTTTAATTAGGTACATTGTATTACACATTGAAAATTAAGCATTATCACTCAAAATTAAAATGACAAAAGAGCAGAAAATAAGTAATATATGCATAACTAATTACAAGATGATGATGATCATGCATCAACTTGGCATTCTGATGATCCAAGCAAAGGCACCTGACCTGTAAACCCCTGCTTGAAGCCTGCAAACACATCACAATTCACATATATTCCATAATGCCTAGTTCTTATGGCTCCACCCTTGTACCTAACCTTCCCAGTCAAGATTAGCTTCAAATTCACCACCCCATAAGACTGATCCATCATTAACCCATTGGCCACCTCGACTGACACCGGCACTGCCCCGCCACCCAGCACCGGAGACAAAGCCACCGTGCTCTTCGAATCGTGGTACAAATGTGGCAGGCTCAGTGGAGGAGTTATGACCTGGTTTTTGTAAGAAACAAACGCAGATAACTGGTCATAGTAAAAGGATACTCTCTCATTAGGGTTCCTAGTGACCACAGTGAATTGCATGGTGCTGGACAGGTAAGGTGGGGAGGTGAAGTTGAGATCATAAATGACTAGACTCAGAACTTTGAACTTGGGGTCATGGGGACGATAAACTAACCAAACTATAAGGGCTGTGATTCCTGCTAACACCAGGAAGATGACTATGAAGGTCGAGAGGGCTCTGTGTCGATCTTTTATCACATATCGAGATGCGAATAGGCCACGTCTTGGTGGTGGTGGTTGCCTTTTCAGATCATCTTCTGTCATGTTGGGCGGTGTTTCTGAGGAATGGACTTGGTTTGGTTCGGCCATGGAAAAAGGCTGTTATATAGAGAAGAAAAATGTGACACAACCGAGGGATTAATGCGATGGAAATCGTGGCAATTGAACAAGATGAAAGGTGGAAGAAGAAGAAGAATAGGAGGGACAAGTGTATGTAGAACAAAAGACAAAAGAAGGATAAAGAAAAATTGGGCCCCCACATTAAAATTTTTATTCTCATTATTTTACTCATTTTCAACCACATATTTTTTAATAAAATAATATTTTCCATCACATCAATAATTTTTCCTTCTTTTTCAACCACATATTCTCCATTAATCTACTATTCCAAAATAATGTGGCGCAAACACACCCACGGGGTTTCTCATCTTATAATAATAAAGTTGTTCAATTTTCGCCTACGGTCGAGTACATAGCACCCGTCTAAAACTTTTGTCTATTGTCCTATCGAGTAGAGTTGTCAAATATGAACTTAGGGGAATCAACTAAGAAGCCTCGTCTCTCTCTTGTTCAATACTTCATTATGCTACCTTTATTTCACTCCAATTAATCATAAATTATTCTTTTATAGCACTTTTCATTTATAACTTTAATTTTATGCATTCAAAGCTTGAAAATTTTACATCACACCTTCACATGGAGAGAGAGAGAGAGAGAGAGAGAGAGAGAGAGTAGCGGTGTGGGTGGAATGCGGCGAAGGTAGGGTACAACTGCTTCGCTCG